CTCACCATGTTTTTACATCCCGGTCATGTTTTTGCATTTGCTCACGATTGACTCGTCACGGTGTCATGTCTCCTCCTCTCCACTTCTACCCCACTCACAGGGACCCCTGGGTATGCAGACCCGTACTACATATCGACACACGAAATAAATGAACAGACAGAAATATATTCTTTCGGGGCACTGATCTTAGAAATGCTAGTTTCCAAATCTCCAGCTATTCATGTAGGGAAGAATTATAACTGCATTTACAACACAAATGAAAAATGTCCAATATTTTGTCACAGGAAGAAAAGTGAAAATGATGACAATGTATTCGATTACTTGGTGAATCACATAAATATGAATGATTATAAATCTATTTATTCTATTCTAGATCAGAGTGTTAATTTCCCCGATTTCTTAGTAGAAAAGTTGACAAAATTATCGTTTCTTTGTTTAAATCCAAATATTAAAAATAGGCCTTCATCTAAATTAGTTAATTTAATTTTACTCGAAATACAAAAAGAGAGTGAATGCTTCATTAAAAAGCAGCAGGAATTAACTCAGAAAAAAATCAACTTTTCTAATATGTATTTTGAAGAGTGTGAAAAGGACGACAATTCAGCCAGTGTTATGATGGAAAGTAGTGGAGTTGTAAAGGACAGGGAGAAAAAAAGTAGAAACACAGATTTGTATAAAAAATTGTGTATAAATGAAAAAAAAAAACAAAAAAATAAAAATGAGGAATACGAAAGAAAGGCAAAAAATTATGACAATTATGTCCGTAAAATGGAAGAAATAAATTATGACAACGTCAAACAGCTTTTTCTTAAATTTATGAGATCATTGTTTGGGGGTGGTCAAAACAACAAATTGGACGAAAATACATACAAAGAGTGGGAACAAATTTTGAACAAAGAATTTTATAAAAATTTTTTTAAAACATTCCTTTCCGAATTCTCGCAAAGGAGTCGATATGTCGAAACGACTAATGGCCATGAATGTAACAATGCACAACCCATGTATTACACATGTTTTAAGCACAACACTGTTGGCAATTTGACTAACATAAAGAATGTGTTTTTCGATAATTTACACAAAGATATATTTTTTAAGAGTTATCTGTTCAATTCTTTTTCCTTTAATCTGATGAATTCTCATTTTTTAAGGTTTCTTCATGAGTACTTGAAAAATTCAGCAAACAATACCCCTGCTTCGAATAATTCGGCAAGAGTAAAAGTGGAATCAGTTTATAAATGGTCGCGCAAGGTAGAAATTAACAAGTGGTTTTCAGTAGATAGTTCATTTGGATGTCAACTTGGAAATGATTCGATTAAGCGTTCTCTCCCAAGTGACATGAACAACTGCGTTCCCTTGAAAGATGCCAATTTTTGTGATCCAAATGAACCAAGTAAGACAGGCAAAGTAGCAAATTGTGGATTAAGTAAAACTGCGGATAATGAGGGAATGAAAAGCCCGTTCAACATAAAGAGACATGTCCAAATGACACCCAATGAATTAGATGATAACAGTGCAGATCCATTTGGCAAGGACATTCATGAAAGCAATGAAAGCAGCAAGAACGGAAACAGTAGCAGCATCGGGAACGGCAATAATGGCAGCTGTGGGAAGGGCAACTTTCCGGACATCATGTTGGTAGAAAGTAAAAACTGCAAAATTAGGAATAAAAACGAGAAGGATGATAGTGACATGTTTATGAAACATGTAATGGCTCAGGAATGGTATGCACCAAACAAAAAGCACAATTACTATTCCTCTTCCAGCGTAGACATTTTTAAGAATGGCTCTTGCCACGAATGGGGGAGGAGGGATCACATTGGAATGGCACCCATGAAACAAAGTAGACCTATAACCATAATGCACAGATACAATGGGCAGAAGAAACATAACAACATAGATAACATTAACATAAACAATGTGAATACCAATAAAAATATGTGTTCTGATAATCCTTATCAGAATATGCAAAACAGTACAGATTATGAAAAAGGGAATAAATTTAGACCTATAAATAACCCTGTAAAAGACATAAATTCGCAACATTTATATAGAAATAACGGTTATAACCAAGTACTGAATGAAAAAAATGGATATCCGAATTGTCAGGATGCCATCAGTTTATACAATATTGATCGTGTGCAAAATGAAAATAATGTACAAAACAATTTTAATTCAAATAAGTGGTCATTGAAAAGAAATTGTAGAGATAACACACCTAAAATGGTTTTCAACATCCCACATCATGATCATGTCAAAACAGAAGAACAATGTTTAATCAACAAAAAGAAGGTAATGCGGACTAATGTTTCTATCGATGAGGGAAAGGTGGCCAAGAATTTGGGGTTCTCTAGAGCCAGACCTGTGCCCGTGTGGATTGACATCAATGTTGGGAGCAAAATTGGAACTAATGTAGGAAGTAATATCGGAACTAATGTAGGAAGTATTGTAGGAAGCAATATTGGAAGTAATGTAGAAAGCAATATTGGAAGCAATGTAGAAAGTATTGTAGGAAGCAAAGTTGTAAACAACATCGAAAGCAACGTCGAAAGCAACATCCGGAGCAATCGGAGCTGCAACCCCAACTGTGACATAAGGCTCGATAATGGCACCACTGGTTCTAGCGCGTGGGCGAACCATGGGATGAAAAACGGAAATACCGCAGGAAAAGCAATTATTCGTGGAACAGCAGAAAAAAACACATCTCCACAAAAGAGAGAAATTCAGGAGTGCAATATAATTTACATTTCTAATTTTGCAAACTACATAAATTTCGATAGAAACAGAAACGGAGTCGATTCCAACACATTCGAGTGGTTTCACAAAAATGTATTCGAAATGATCATTGACGAAAATAGAGTTACCTCAGATGTCACTTTTTTAGATATTCTGTACGAGTTTAACATTTTCAGTTTTAAAAAGAATAATATTCCAAGTTATCAGTCATCACATATCCATCCATCACTACAGGAAGAAGAAAAAAATAAATATACTCTAAGTGGGAAATGGTCAAATTGTAGTAGTACAGAAAATAATTTCAGTTCAGTTAATTTACAAAGCAATTTCTTTTTTGAAATAGCAGTTCATTATGATAATATAAAAAAGGCACACACCATTTTTCTATTAAGACCAAATGAGTCTAAAAATGATGTATGCAAAGAAAAAGGAATTGTAACAAAAAAAATATGGGTTTCTGATTATGTTGGGAGAAGAAATGAATTTGTGGAAAAAATTTTAAAAAAATCTATATCAAACATTTTATATGAATGTATAAGTAGAAAACATTGCTTATTTATATTGGAGGTGCAAATGAAACAATTAAGTAAACCCACATCAAGTGATAATAATATAATAAGAGAAGGGTTTTCCTATTACTTTTTTGAGTACAGTCTACGAGTTGTGTGCAATAGTGACAATTGTATTTTTTCAAATAATTATATTCTATATAAAAATAATACCTATTCATATAGCCTACCAAATAATGTATTATCGTTGCTTGTATTTTCTGAGGATAAAATTATGAAGGGAATTTCCCCTAACAAAAACTCACTCTCGACAACACAAAAAATTCACTTCCCTCTTTACCCCTTTTCTGTCAATATAAACATTTATAGTGAAAAGTAGAGAGGTGGGTAATACACTTTTCCTATAACACGTGTGTGACATGTATGTGTGTGTGTTTGTGCATGCATTTGCATTTATGTCACATGCCCAAACTTCTCCATACCAACATTTCTGCATCATATATACAATGAATGGGCCAAGATTGGGTAGAGTGCAAAAATGTCCAAAAACGAACACAGCAAAAAGTGTTGCTTTACTGAAATGCGCTATGTGCAATTTTGAACGAACAACACTTATGCTAAATGTATACATATGTTAAGTTTACACAAAGCTGGTTACCAGAACCACAATGTGAAGTGGAAATAGGAACTTAAAATGGAAAAAAAAAAAAAAAAAAAAAAAAAAAAAAAAAAAAAAATTGATGAGGAAGGGACGAGAAAAGAATGCAAAATAAAGTAATGGCATTTTTAATTAATTATCCCTTTTAATACCCCTTTAACTTTTGTTTCTACACTCACTGGCCTTGTCATATGCCTGGCGCATTAATTTTTTTTTTTTTTTTTTTTTTTTTTTTTTTTGTTATTTTTTATTAATATTCTTTAATTATATATTTTATTTTCCCCTCCTGTTTTAATATAGCTGTATTATTTTTCTTCCCCTTTTTTTCCATAACTTTTTGAATATAATTTTTTTTTTTTTTTTTTTTTTTTTTTTTGTGTGTGTCAATAAAAAAAATTTAAGAAAATTGTTACTCCATTTGATTGTAAAAAAACCTGGAAAAAGATACGAACTGTATGGGTCCCACACCCCTTCGGGTTAATTTTTCCCGCTCTCCCTATTCCATCCCATTTATAGAGTATATATAGCATGTTTACATTTCCATGCTTTCGAGATAAAAAATGGATGAAAGAAAATGGAACCAATATGAAGTACCCCGAGACATTTCTAAATGTGCATTTTCGTCCTGAATTTTTAAGAAATTATGAACATACAGCTAATTTTGAGAAAAAAGCTGAACAAGTCATAAAACAGATTAAATCAGCGTTGTTTCGGCAAGCCATTTATAAGGTGAAAGAAAAAGAAAAAAAAAAGACAAATTAGTTACTCATTGCATATTTTCCAATTCCAACTCTTTGACTGTATCGTTTTTTTTTTTTTTTTTATGAAACGTGTGACGAGTTATATATTTCCTTTTTAGTTGCTACTGTTAATGTTGTGAATTATATACTTGACTTAAACGTGTGCTTAAAATTGAACTTAAACTTTTTGTACATTACATGTCATACTTGAAAAAATGTACATTTTGTAGAAAGAATGCTATAGACAAAAATCAATGGCAAAGAGCTTACTAAACAGTTCCATACATCTCGCACGAATTTGGGATGTTTATCATTTTTATTTGAAAAAAAAAAAAAAAAAAAAAAATTGAATTGCTTAAATGTTCCATGTGTACATGTTTTGTGAGGCTCAGCTTATACATGCTTTCCTATATGTTTGACATGCTTTGTACACGGGTAAACACTGCATAGTATACTGTACTGTAATGTACCTTTTTTTTTTTTTTTTTTTTTTTTTTTCCTCTTTTTGCGTCCTTTTTAATGAAAGATACAAAACATTGAAGTGGTGTCCATGAATGAATGCAAAGAGGACAGGGTTCTAGAAAACATAAAAAAAGTTAAAGGATATGAAGACTTTAAAATATCAAACAGTAAAGTTCTCACTGACGAATTGTGGACCGTGAAAAGATGCGATAAAAAGATTTTTTATTGGGTGCGTTATTATGAACAAGATAAAAATGGATACTCATTATCAATAATGCCAACACAGGTGAAAAATATTTTCTGTTTTTTGAAGTATTATTATTTCTAGGATATGTCAGTTACGAATGACACCATTAATTATATGAATGGGTGGCATTGTGTACTAGTACTAGCATTATTAGCACTCAGCTGGATAGTCTTATTTTAAAAAAGCAAATAAAGAAAACAATTTTTTTTTTTTTTTTTATGTCCTCCAAACTTGTTCGTAGTTATCATGTATTCTCAAGTCATACATAGCATATTTGTTACCCTTATTTTTTTTTTTATTTTATTTTATTATATTTTTATTTTTTTGCTGTCATTTGAGTTAGGAGATTTAGTACATGTGAATGTATACTTTAAGTTTCATTTACTTTTTTATTTTAAACTTAAAGGTATCTATAAATTTTACTTGACATATAAGTATGCATGCATATATATGTAATAAAATAAATAAAATTGAAATAAAAGAAATAATTGAAATAATTGAAATAAATGAAGAAAAAAAAAAAAAAACTATAAAATAATAAAACACAATTATTTATCTTTGTGTGTAAAATTGTATGGTTATTTACCAAAATACAAAAAGGCCATTGGAACACTGGAAAAAGAAAGTGAAAAGAAAAAAAAAAAAAAAAAAAAAAAAAAGTTAGCAAAAGAGCAAAATCGTTTCCTAAGTTGTTGGAACATTTCCACCAAGCAATGTAAAAAAAGAGAAGAATAAAAAAAAAAAAAAAAAAAAAATACAAACATGCAAAATTTTCAAAAGTGAATACAAAATAAATGCAAAAATGTATAAGTATCAATAAGGTAAACTATTTTTCCCGTAGCCTTTTGTTTTTCCATTTTTTGCCTAATGTTAGAAAAAGAAGTACTTGTATATTTTCCACTCTGTGGAATTATAACTCGATAATTAATTTATAGATCAGCATAATGGAACGTTATGTATACGCTTGGTCGACTTCATCGCGTGTTACTCATACATATGTATAGGCCACTACCACTACCTCCACACAGTGTATATATTATTCATATTGATTCATGACCCATATGTATACATATTTATATGTGTATATAAGTTATACAATACATTTACATATTTCGTTTTCATAATTTAGTGCGTGTTGAGAGCTCTAGGTTTTACATGAGTATGATGATATCATTTCATTACATGCCCATCGCGAGGATCTTTAATAAATTTTTAGCATTTGTAACATCCTTTGATTATTCAAAGTCCGTCATCTCTCTATTGCTGTTCATGTCGCTTGTAGGATACCTTTTTGAAAAGATAATATATATATATATATATATATATATATTTTTTTTTTTTTTTTTTTTTTTCGTAATTTTGAATTCCGGAAGAGGAAAAACATTTGACTGGTGGATGAGACAAAGTGTTTCTCCCTATTCTATTCTCTTTTCATTCTGTGGTCATAGAAAAGAAACAACGTTCTAATAAATGCATATCAGGACATAAGAACTACCGCGAAAATGAGTAATACTAAAAAAAAAAAAAAGCATATATATATATATATATATATATACATATATGCATTTTAGCGGAACGATGAAACGTGGGCTGAGTTTTAACATTTTTATCATTTGCAATTTCGATCTTTTGCTTGAATGTCTTTTTTTTTTTTTTTTTTTTTTGAAAAAATAAGCTACATATAAATGCATGCATGAATGAGGCTACATGCATGTGCATACATCTAACATATCCCAAGACAAAGAGACACATGCACCTCTTTCTAATTATCACAAATCATGACAGGTTCATTCTGGAGCTTTATAAAATCCAAAAAGAATGACGACAACGAACCCAAACCAACCGTTGCTCACTTAGGTGAGGAAAACAAATTTTACTTCAACAAAGAGCTGAACAGATGGGTAATAAAGGGTGAAGAAGACAAAGTTGAAAATGAGGAAAAGGTGAATGCGCCTCCCAAAATGAGCAGTTTGCAGAATGTAGGCCAGGGATATCGTTCCCTCATTCAGCAGAAGTAGGATTCCACACATGCATTGCTGGTCGTGTTGGTCATGCTGGTCGCTTCGACCTCATTTGCACGGTCGACTCTTTTGCGTGGTGATCCAGATTTCATGTTGGTCTCGTCTGCATATGCATCGATAAGTACATTCCTCTTGGGTCCACCATTTGTGCAAACATTTCTGATCCTCGTCTAGTTGTTCAGTTTATTTTTCCATTTCTTCATCATCTTCTTCATCTTCGTCTCATTTTATCATTATTTTATTTTTTTTTTTTTTTAACAGCAAAACGAGGAGTGCACGCACGATGTATGCTGAAATACCTGGTTTAAAAACTATCAAGAGGAACAACACAAATGTCCAGGGAGGAATTGTATCACCATACATGATGGAATCAGCAAAAAATGAATTGAGTAGTAACACGACAGATGGAAATAGATCTGAACCATTTGGTTCGAATATATTCATTCCATGCATGAAGAAATCTGAAAATAATAATTTGAGTGCAAAGTCCAATTTAGAGAAAAATGGAAATATCCCTGAAGAATTTGAAGTTAATCCAAAAGTGAAAAGAAATGAAGAAGAAGATATGAACAAGCACACAGCGAGGGTCAATAAATCTTCAGAAATAACATCAAGCGGGTTTAACAGAATAAAGGTTGACAATGATCTTTTGAAAGAGCAAAATGTAAAAGATAAAGCACAGGATAGTATCATGCATAGTTCAGACAATATCATACGCAGTTCAAACAATGTCATGCGCAGTTCAGACAATGTCATGCGCAGTGTAGAGAGTGTGTTCATACCAAAGGTCCCTTCAGAAAATGAATGTATCAGTTTTTCGAGGGAAAATTTTTTCAACTCAAATAAAAGTAACGAAATGGAAGGATGTCCTGTATATGATAAAAACCATGGTCCCAATAGTTTGTCAAATGCATATGTCTCGAATGAACAGGAAAGGAAAAGGATGAGTTTCAACAATTTAGATCAGTCAAATGGAATCAACAATATCTCCAAGGAATTTAGATGTAATGATATGGCTAGCTCGATTAAACGAGAAGACAGAAGTAGCACATTTTGTGGTGACATGGAAGGTTTTAATGAAGCATCTGCAACAAAAGCAGTTTTTCCCTTGAAAACTAAACTACCCATGGTTGGTGACGTTGCTAGCGATGATGGGAGCCCCGTTAAGCGGGCCTATTTAAAAGGGCTCGATCCGAGAGCCACAATTTCCATGAGTATGACTAATGATACTTATAATGCACAGGGGAATGAAAATTGCCTGAAAAAGGAATCATTTTCAAATGTGAACCAAAAGGACAGATGGATGAATATGAAGGAAGATATGAAAAGAATAGAATCATTTCGATCTCCCATTAATTTATATAAAAATAAAGTCATTGTAGAACCTCCTTATAGTTATAGTAGCGAAAGGATAGGAAAAGAACATGAAAGTTTTTATATAAATAAACTGAAGGAAGAAAATCAAAATGGGGTCATTATAAGCGGTGGTGAGGACATAAGTGGAGGAAAGTATTCTGAGAAGGAAAAAGAACTAATCGATTATTTTTTAAGTGCACTGAAAAACAATTTGAATAAAAATGACGAAGATTTTAAGAACAAGTTAAAGTTAGAAGTGCAAAAGGTTCATGAGTTTGTAGAAAAAAGGGAGTTTTTAGAAACCTTGTATCGAAAAATAAATCAATTGAAGGGTGTAGAAGAGAGGGGAATTGCAGGAGAGGGTGCTGAAATGGTCGAAAAATGCAGGAGTACTAAGCAAAAAGGACCAGAGAATGACGTAGACAAAGCAGACGAAGCAGATGCAGATGCGGAGGAAAGAGACGAAGGGGCCGAGATGAAGGAAAGCGAACTAAGCAAAATACTATACATCATAAACATCAAAAATAAGAAGATAAAAGACGAAATAGAAGGATTCAGGAAATCGTTCAATGAATTAAAAAGAGTAAAAAGGAAAAAGGAAGAAATCATTCGCTTATACAAAAATAGAGAAAAGAAAATTTTGCAAGTACTAAAAGATATGGAAGAAAAAGAAAGGAAAAAAAGTGCTACTTTTAAAAAAAAAGAAAAACAATACAAGGAAGAAATACTAGAGAGAGAGAAAAGTTTACAGATGGAAAAAATGAATTATGAAAAACAGTTAGGAAAGATAATTGAGGATCAAGAAGTTTTGTTAAAGAAGAAGGAAGAAGATTTGGAAAAACTCAGAAATCAAGAGTGTTCACTGAAGGAGGAGCTAAAAAAAATGGAATTGGAAGTGGAAAAAAAAATATGCGATTTGAAACATGAATTTGAATCAAGCAAGAAAAAAGAAATGGAAGATTTTTTCAAAAATGAAAAAAGGGAATTGGCAAAAGAGACGATGGAGATGGAAATGAGAGAAGAGTTGTTTGAAAAGGTGAAAGAAAAACTTAGAGAAGAGCTCAAGGAACAAGTCATGGAAGAAGTGAGAAGAGGTGGTGATGATATGAAAAAAGACCAATTGGAAAATCGTGTAAAGGATGAAATAGAAAATGCCAAAAAATTAGCCGAAACCAATTTTAACAGCAAGTTAGAAAAATATAAAGAAAAAATGGAAAAAAATAAAAATGATTTTATAAACAATTTAATTATAGAAAAGAATAACGAAATGGAAATGTTAAGGTGTCAAATGGAAAAAATGAAAAATGAAGAAATTCATCAACTGAAGGAAGAAAATCAAAATCTGTTAAATCAAAATGTTGAGGAGATAAGGAAAAATCTACTGGAGGAGCAAAATAAGCATATTGAAGATGTAAAACGGAATTTAGAATTACAAAAAAGTAAAGAAATAGAGGCTTTGCTCAATGAGATGAATAAAAAGGAAGTTCAGGAAAAAGAAGCACGCGAGAATATGAAAAAAGAATTGATGGATAATAAATGGAGGGACGTTCAGAAGGTGCAAATGGAGCTAGAGGAGAGACATAAGCATGAACTTGTCGAGGCAGAGGAGAGACATAAGCATGAACTTGTCGAGGCAGAGGAGAGACACAAGCATGAACTTGTCGAGGCAGAGGAGAGACATAAGCATGAACTTGCCGAGACAGAGGAGAGACATAAACATGAACTTGCCGAGACAGAGGAGAGACACAAATGTGAGCTGGATCTTGTAGAAGAAAAGAAGAAGAACGAATTGGCACAATTGGAAAAACAGCTGAGTGACGAGCACAAAGATCGGGAACAGACGAAGAAAAAGAATCAGGAAGAAAAAGAGATGGAAGTGAGTCAGCTGACCGGAGAAATAAACAATCTACAACACGAAGTAGAGGAATTACGCACCGAAAGGGATGAATTACGGTTCGAAAAGGAAGTACTAAGCAATGAAAAAAAAGACCTCGAAGTGAACATTACATTGTTAAAGGTGGAAAAGGAAAATGTGGAAAATGAGAACATAAACTTGGAAGAGAATTTAAAAAATAATGAAGATATTTATAAAAAAAATATAAACCTTCTTAATGAACAGAAAACAAAATTAGAGAAAGAAATTCAAGAAATTTTACAAAACCAGAGAAAGGAATCCGAAAAGACGCGAGAAAAATTTGCTGATTTGTTACAAGCAGAAATTAATAGAATAAAAAAAGAATCAGAATATAAAGTGCACAATTATGTAAAACAATACGAAGAAATAAGTGAAGAATATGAAGCGAAGAAAAAAGAATATAATGATTTATTGGAAAAGGCCAATCTCAATAACAAAGATTTAACAAAAAAATATGAAGAAAATATACAAAAAATAAATGAATATGAAGATATGATAAAAATGTTAGAAAATCAAACAGAAGAATTAGTACGAAAGAAAATTGAAGAATTAAATGAAGAATTTGAAAAAAAGAAAGAAATTTTTGATAAAGAAAAAAAAGATCTACAACAAAATTGTGAACATTTAAAACAAAGTAATAAACAAATTAAACAACAATTAGAAAATGAAATAAATTTAACCATAAAAGAAAATGAACAAAATATTGTTAGAATTACAAATACTTATGAGTCTAGGGTTCAAGAAATGGAAAAGCGTTGTGAACAATTAATGTCACAATGTAATGAACTGAAAACGAAGAATGAAGAAATTATGGAAACATTTTCCAAAGAAAAGGAACAAAAAGAAAAAAATCTAGAACATCTCAGTTCTATTAACAGTGAATTGAGTAGTAAAAATAGTCAACTTAATGATAATTTGAATGAAGTGAAGAACGAATTATCTGATTTACAAAACAAATATGAACAAATGTCCAATCAGAAGAATGTTCATCTAAAAAATAAAGAAGAAGAGCAAAAAAAACTAAGGAATAAATTGAGCGAACTTGAAAATATAAATAAAAATTTATTGCAAGTTACTGAAAAGGAGAGAGAATTAAATGTTAAAAATATAAACATTATAAAATCCTTGCAGGAGCAGATAAAGGAGCAAACCAAATTGTATAAGGAATATACAGATGAATTAAAAGATGAAATTAAAAAATTAAAACAACTGGTTCGTACAAATTCAAACAATTCAAATGACGTAAATCATTCCATATTATTAGAGGAAAACAAAAAATTAAAGATGCAAAATGAGGTTATAACCACCAAAAATGAAAGCATGTCTGTCTCTCTAGATAGCCTTACTAAGAGGCTCAGTTTTATAGAGACCGCTCTTCGGGATAAGGATTACGGTGTCGACCTCATCAAACGTGCTGATGAATTGCATTGAAGTGTTGGCTAGTCGGACCTGCAACTGGGGTTGGGGAAGACCTATGGACGCACACGTTGTCTTCCTACGCACGTCTTCTTCCTACACACGTCTTCTTCCTACACACGTCCCATGCTTTTTCTGTTGGATTAAGTTGGATTAAAAATGGTGGGCGTAAGCATAATTCTTTTCGCAGCCCTTTGGTACCTGTTTCCATGAAATTTCTGCATCCCCTTGGCTGTGTTTCCCGATTGATTTATTTTCTGAATCTCTCCTGTCTTTAATATATTACCATACCAGTTTGAGAATCACACGTGTGTACTTCAGTAAGACCCCCTCTCTCCCCCATATCTCTTCCCAAATCTCTCCCCATTCGTTTTATTTTATTTTATATATTTTTATCATATTTAATATAATTTTATCATATTTAATACAATTTTATCTTATTTAATACAATTTTATCTTATTTAATACAATTTTATCTTATTTAATACAATTTTATCTTATTTTTTTGTGCTTTTTCTGTTTTGTATCAGAACGTGCCTCATTACACATATGATCACGTGCACCATTAACATGGTTCTTCTATGTGTGTGTTATGTCGTCTACTTTTTTCACTCGTCATGTTTACCTTCCTAATTTTTTATAGACATGACTCTTTCAATATCTTGGATTTCGATATCCTACAAAACGTTAAATAATTAGTTTACATTTGGCGAAATAGAGTGTGTAAATGTGTGTAGATTCTACTGTAGTGTGCTTAGCACGTACACATAGTTGTCATTGTACTTTATAGAAAAGGTGTAACAAAAACAATGTTGGGAAAAAAAAAAAAAAAAAAGAAAAAAAAAATTTTCTTCATCTTCCGTGAATTTTACCTGATTTTCTCCCTGTGATTTACTCAAACGTCTAGTCGGGTAGGGAGAAAAAAAAAAAAAAAAAAAAAAAAAAAAATGGAAAAATGAGAAGAATTGAAAAGTTGGGAAGAAGTAAAAAAAAAAAAAAAAAAAAAAGCAAGTAAAATAACGGAAATAAAAATAGACAAAAATTAGAATTTTTGGATATGAAAGCCTTTCGATATAGGAAGTTGATAGTACTCATTCAGAGGAAAAAAAAAAGAAAAAAAAAGGGCCCACTTTTATATTTTATTATTTTATTTGATATTTGCACCGTACTTCTTGTCTATAATCATCCATTCGAAGAAGGTTCGGATTCCTGTTTTTTCTTCTTCGGACTGTAAATGGTGATGGTTGTACGTGCGTGCGTGTGTGTGTGTGTGTATGTACGTATGTACGTGTGTATGTATGTGTATACGTGTGCTATAAAATTTGGCCTTGTGTTTGCACGTGGCATGGCTCGTGCTACTTCCTTACATGCGATCGGTTAACGATATACTCATAAGTTGTCATTTTTTTCGAGATGAGAAAAATATGCAGACCGAAAAGTTGTATCACGAGGACGAACACTATTCCATTTAAAATGAAAAGGGAACAGAGGATGAAGTAGAATAGAACTTCATTGTAGGACCCGTAAAACTGAAGGGGGTGCGAAAGCATGGGGAAATTTGGCATGAGGTTGGTAACGTTGAAACACGGTTGGGGTCGTGCTGTCATGTAAATGGAGAAAAGGGTTACAAAAGGAACTCTGCTTCTTCCCTCCTTCACTCTATGTAAACACACAGTTTTTTTTTTTTTTTTTTTTTCTTTTTTCTCAGTAGCAATTTTTGCCTAGTCATTTTTTCAGGCATCCCATTTGGGTGTACTCTCATTTGGTTACATTTTTCCATCTGTCCTTTATCAAGTCATGTTTAATCGAGATGACAAAAAAAACGATACAGAAAAGAAATACAACACAGTTGAAAATAGTTAGTGCGGATAGGAGACCTACGAAATATCTGTGTGTAAAAAAAAAAAAAAAAAAAAAATATTTTTTCAGAAAAAATGTATGGAGAAATCTACACAACTTGTGTGATGGGTGTGCAGTAGATAGAGGTACGTCTCATATGGGCATACATGCAAAGAGATTCGTTCACATGTGAAACCCCGCTTGCATTCTATAGTTACGCCTTTGCACCCCATTACAGCAGTGAGGTGTATATTTACTTGTAATTCTTCTTCCCGATGCAATTGTTCACCCACATGCAGTGATGGTCGAAAACAGAAACACACTTGTTGCAAACCTTACAGTGCTTACTTTGAGGTTCTACAAATCCGCATATATCACATTCATAAAGATTTTTAATGTCTTCCTCATTGATTTTTCCATTAGTATACTTAAATGATAAAGGATCAACTGGGTTTATCGTAGTAACTATGTATGATAGTGCCAGGATGGCACTTATTAAGATTCCAAAGAATGTGTAAAAAATAATAAATATACTACTTGTGTTTAATGCCGATAAGCAAATAATTAATGCTACAATTACTAGAAATATAAGGAATGACATAATTTGAAATATTTGCAGAGGTAGTGTAAATCCATTTTTGCGAACAAACTCATCAGCCTCTTTGGATTTCGTATCATCCCTGAATGCAAATATTCGCTTATTCATAATTAGGAGGCTTGTTCAGTGGGGGGGGGGAGGCGGAGCGAATGTGACTCGGACGGGCGTAAAAAAGTGCAGCAAGAGCGAAAGCAGCGAAAACAGCGAAAATGGCGAAAACAGCGAAAACAGCGAAAACAGCGAAAACGGCGAAAACAGCGAAAACAGCGAAAACGGCGAAAACAGCGAAAACAGCGAAAAGTGTGAGCAAAATAAAATACTTATGCAAAACGTGAAAACAGTCAAAATAATGGAAAACGTAAAAAATGCGAAAAGTGTGGGAAAATAAAATACTCGTGCAAAACGCAAAAATTTGGCATAAAAACCAGGCGTAAAACAAAGAGAAAATTTCCTAAGTACACAATAATCAGGAAGGCAGCAAAAAAAAATCCCCTAAACATATGCACGAACACACATATACACACACAAATATGTACACACACACCAATATACACGCACACAAATATACACATACACCAATATACACACACACCAATATACACACACACAAATATACACACACACAAATATACACACACCAATATACACACACACAAATATACACACACACAAATATACACACACAAATATATACACACAAATATATACGTAAATGTTTCAGCAAAATTTGTCTTATTGCTGTCCCTCCAAATGTTATGTTATCGCCTAGTCCCCTGTTTGACGTCTTTTCTGTTTTATAATTTCTCGTTCTGTCTACCTTTTGGAAAAAAAAAAAAAAAAAAAAAAAAGGTACACAAAAGTTTGTGTATATATATGTACATTCCAGCGCTGAACATAAATCACGGAAACGTTTAATGTTGTGTTGAATTGAATCATAATTTTTTAAAAAAAAAAAAAAAAAAGTGGAAGAAAATATAGGTGCGAGAGGGGGGTAGGGGTGTGTATAGGCGTTTTCACATTATGTGTACATATAAGAGATAAAATTAATAACTGAAAAATTTAAAGTTATAACGATAAGGCAATAAATAAATTAAAATTTTTTTTTTTTTTTTTTTTTTTTTTTTACTATTCTTATTTTTAAAATACATTTTACACAACTTTCGCATGTATATAAATTTACAAGAAAGTTATTTTCAAAATGTGGTGAAACATACATAATGGATAGACGAATCGAAATAGCATGCACTAATACACAGAAAAAAAAAAAAAAAAGAAAAAAAAAAAAAGGAAAAAAAAAAAGACTACGCCATACAGGACGTTACAGTGCCGTCTGGGAATTCACGGAAATTCCAATGTCCTCAAAAAAAAAAAAAGGTAAATCCATAAAGTAGTAAAAGCGCAATTTGATGAAGTGGCAAAACAACCAGCAGGATATAGCAAATGTTGGTGATTTTCCACTCCAGTGCAGCGAATGAATTATTCCCTATTCGGTTCATCTAAAACCTTTTTGCACAGGTTTTTAACCTTTATGTTTGCACATTTAATATATATATTTTTTTTTTTTTTAAAAAGAGCAAAAGTATAACTTTTTCCCTTCACGAACGAACGGGTTGACAAGCAGACGAACTAGCCAATGAGGCAACCCCACACATACATCTAGAACTGTTCACACGTTCCTCATTCCATTTGAAACATAACACATGGTAAGTTGGAGACATGTGCCACAATAAGAATTGCCATTTTGTTATGTTCTTGGGGTAAATTAAAAATGAGCTATAAAAAAATGAGCTATAAAAAAATGAGCTATGAAAAAATGAGCTATGAAAAAATGAGCTATGAAAAAATGAACAATAAAAAAAATTTGTCTGAACAAACTTTTGCATTATTATCAAGTAACTCTTTCACCTTCCACTCCCCCTTATTTGTAACGTTCTTAATGTGGTAAAAAAAAAAAAAAAAAAAAAAAAAAAAGATATATATTCTTGTTGCTTATAGGTTATAGATTGGTTTAAAAATGCTTTGACTTGCTTGACACACACATGTGTATGACCGTAGCTTCGATTGTGGATGGGGTGCAAATTAGAACACATAAGAGCCCGTAAGGCATGTGGGATGCGTAAAGGTACGTAAGGCATGTGGGATGCGTAAAGGTACGTAAGGCATGTGGGCTGCATAAACGGACGTAAGACATGTGGGCTGCATAAACGGACGTAATGAATATCAAAAAGGTTAACATACATATACGAGTCCCAGAGAATCAGGTGTCAGTCTGATTCGAAAAATTCAACATGGCTGTCTCCAGATCTTCTAAAGATTTTTCCATATTTTCTACCTTACTCAACAAATTGTTCGATAAATTCTGCATTTTACCCTTCAACTCATTAAGCATATTTTCAACATACATTTCAATGTCATCTGATTTATATTCCAAGTGCATATTCTTCTTATCGATCGTTGGCTGATTATATACTATTGCTGCGTTGCTTTTATTTGCATCTAATGACATAGATGCATTGTGAAAAGGTTGACTATAATTCTTGGCCTGCTCCTCCACCTTGCAGTTTTCACTACGGTTCATAATGTTTCTATAACTCTCGTTCTCACTTCGGTTGTTCAGCATTTTGTCTGATCTCGCTTAATCGTTACTTGGTTAATGGCTATTCGGTTAATCGCCACTGGGTTAATCGCCACTGGGTTAATCGCCACTTGGTTAATCGCCAATCTGCTGGTCGTTCTCCTTCCTTGTCAAAGACCTTGCTGGTGTTACAGCCCTGTATATAGACAGAGAGCAAAAGCAAAGAGAAATGAAAGCGAAAAATCTTCTATCCCCAGATTTTCTGGGTGCTTGTAAATATTTTATAAAGGAGTAAATAGACACGCTTCCAAGTACAACTGTTCCAGTAATTCTGCAGAATATGCAATCATCTGTATTTTTTTTTATAGATGTGTTATTCATCACTTTGGGCCAAGCTTCATTGTAAAGGTCAGAATGGATTCATACGTTTCTGCTCTTTTCTCGTTTCTCTAGTTCCTTTTTTTTTTTTTTTAGTAGCTTCGTTAAGTATTTTTTTTTTTTCCACTGCTTCTGCATTGGCCTCTTTTTTAGGGGGGGGGGGGGGGGAAGGTTGGTGGTTTGGCGGGGTGGTAAACGATAGCAGACCTTCCTTGTGTTAACATGCACAGGCGAATAATATTTCCTTCTCAAGGTTCATCAAGTTAAAAATTTCCTAGAAATGCACACATGGTAAGTATATATGTATATATGTGCTGGGTGTGGTGGGTTCATTTTTTGTACATACTCTTCTTATGTGCGATTGTCAACATATACATAATTGCTCGTTATAATATGAAAACGTGGGTGACATTGACTCATATTCTGGAGGTGTGCATTTATTTGTTTTATTCTCACACCCCTGTTATGTGTACACCAAATTGTAATTTTTTCTCTGCCACTTGAGATGGAGTTTATTCACATAAGCATTGCATATGCATATACTCAGTTACCTTCTTAGGCAATAGTCGTTTATCATGCACATAAAACTGTTCATAAACAAGGTTTGTCAACTTTATCAGCTTCGTTAAGTTTTCCCTTTTTGATTTGTGTGTGTTCACTACTTTTGAATCTCATTTAAGAATATACACTTTCACGTTGGGCAAAAAAAAAAAAAAAAAAAAAAAAAGGGGGGAGGAACATGCTGTTTTTACATTTCCCATAAGTCCAATAAAATATGAGCAATACTTATAAACCGTAAAAGTTGACTATCTAAATTAGGGGCAAAAAATTCACATTAAGCAACAAAAGTTACGTGTGATTATTAACAAAAACCAAGGAAAGCCAAGTCAGAAGCTACAAAAAAATTTCATTCTAGAAATGTATTTCTCATACTGATATGGAATAATTGGACACTACTTGTGCGAATATGATGTGAAGTAAATTCTCTTGCATAACGTACATTTTTTTTTTTTTTTTAAATATGGAAACTGTAGGAAGGATAAATAATCCCTATATATTCATAAAAAAAAAAAAAAAAAAAAAAAAAGTGCACCATTTTTTAACAAAATAATGTAAGGAGCAAAATTATTCATTCATTTTATACATTTCACTTTTTTAAATGGCAAGTCCTTATGTGAGTTTTCAAACCTTATCGGACTACCCCGTCGGCTTGGAAGTTGCGCGTTTGTGCTTATATATACAAACGAGCAAAACGGGATTGGACACATAAGAGTGCATACGCACGTGCTGATTCATCTTTCATAATTAAAGAACTGTGCCCACTCCGATGTAGCAACATACACTAAAATGTATATACACATTTTTTTTTTTTTTTTTTTTTCATCAGGTATTTGAAATGGGGATATGTATATATATATATATATATATATATATATATATATATATATATATATATATATATATGCATACATGTGTAACCATCCCAGGGAAAGTAGGAAAATGTGGATATGTGAACTTCCAACTCTCTTTCCCCCTTTTAAAAAAAAAAATAAAACAAGCATAAATTGACCTTGTAGAAAATGTCAGATTTTTCACATTTACCACAAATCATGTATTTTATTTTATCTCACTGAATATAAAAAAAGAAAAAGAAACTTTACGCTATATTCATTCTTGTATTTTTTTTTTTTTTTTTTCATTTGGTATTTGATGTTGTTTCCTACTTACACTGAATGTTCATTGTAGTAGCAAAGAGATTGATTTTATTTTATCATTCGTTTATCCGTATTTGTGTAAAATTTTTTTTTTTTTTTTTTTTTTTTTTTTGTCATTCTTCTTAGTAGTTTTTCCATTATGTTGTATTTTTTATGAATTTTTTTTTTTTAGTTTTTTTGTTCGCTTGCTTATTTTGATGACACTTTTGTCTTTGCGCTAATTTTTTTTTTTTTTGTTCTGCCTGTGTTGCAATCACTGGCAGCAGTGTGTTCATGCATGATCATATGTTTATGCTGGAACATGTATGCTCGATCCTTCATTTTGGCTTATCACTTATTTTCGAAATACAGCATAGACGTTCTCCTTTCTCTACATTTCTTTTTTGTTAGCGTCAATTTTTTTTTTCTTTCTTTCGCGTTCTTTCGCGTTCTTTCGCTTTTATTTTAGGAGTTCCATACCTTGTTCCCTAGTGGAAATTTCCAAGTACCGTTCTAAGGACATGGCTTTCCCCCATCCCTGTCTCGTGTCTTTTTCATTTTTTACATCTTAAAATTATTTTCCCTGAAACAGAAGCAAGGTGTTGGAGGGAAAATTCCAATTCATTTGGTTTTGATCCGTTTTGTTTTCTACCTCCTTTCACCCCCGTTGTGAAATTTTTAAAAAAGCCAAATTTATTTTTTTACCAACTTGGCGAATTGTTTTCCTCACAGCGCAAGTGTACATATGGTACATATATACACATATATTTTTTTTGTTTATTTTTGTTTTTTTTTGCTTTTCCTTTTTTGTTTATCGAGAAATTGACACACGAAGGGAGAGTAAGAAAGCTAACAAGAACTTAAAATTTTTGCAATTTAAATTGTAAGCTACACAAAAAAGGGGGGAAAATAAAAAGAGAGGAGGTGGAGGAGGAAAAAAAAAAAAAAAAAAAAAATTGCCATAGGAAAAATAACAAAGCAACATGTGGATAGAAAAAGATATCAGTGCAAGTTGTGCAAAAGGGGGAGCCCTTAGTCAGCAAGTGAGCGATGGTATTGAAACTTTAAAAAGGAATAACAATTTTGTATACAGTGGCATTGGTAGAAATATGTTTTCAGAGGCGCAAAAGAGAAACGCTGATGAGAGGTGCAGGCATAACAAGATGAACAGGTCGGGCAATTTGAGCGGTCTGAACAGGTCAGGCAATGTGAGTGGTCTGAACAGGTCAGGCAATTTGAGTGGTCTGAACAAGTCGGGCAATTTGAGCGGTCTGAACAGGTCAGGCAATTTGAGTGGTCTGAACAGGTCAGGCAATTTGAGTGGTCTGAACAGGTCAGGCAATTTGAGTGGTCTGAACAGGTCAGGCAATTTGAGTGGTCTGAACAGGTCAGGCAATTTGAGTGGTCTGAACAAGTCGGGCAATTTGAGCGGTCTGAACAGGTCAGGCAATTTGAGTAGTCTGAACAATTCGACTAAATGGAGCTCAAATGAAACATCCAAAAGTGCCACTAATGCGAAAGGGACAAAGGATGTAATCGAAAATAAAACCATCCTGAAAAACACGTCCAAAGATGTGGAACCAAAGTTGTGTGCAAATAATGAATCCAACTTTGGAAAATTAGATCGGGTTAGAAAAGCAGAAAGAAGTGATGAATTTTTTGGAGAAGACAAATTAAGGGAGAAAAAAATCCACACTTCTGAACATAAAAACGAAAGAGGAAATGAGATGGAGAAAATTTCCAACAAAATAAGCAATGTATATGCGATAAAAGAAAACGAATTAACCTATCCACATCGGAGGTGTAACCAAAAGATGATGGATACATGTGACTCTAATGTCTCAGATTGGAAGAAGAGAAATGCTTACAATATTAATGGAACTTGTTACAAAAATACACAATATCTAAACAACAGCATATTGTATAACGACAGCATCATGAACAATGAAACGGTTATGTGTCAGGAATTATCTGAGACAAATAAAGTTGGGAATGTGGTAGTGTGTGAAAAAGTAAGAGATAATTGCCAAAGGTGGAATACACAAGAGAGAGAGGTAGAGGTGGAGGTAGAAGGAGAAGAGTTATTTCAAACCAATAATGATGTAAATGTGATGATAAGTAAAAGGGAAAGAAAAAAAGAAATAGAAATAAGTTACACAAATGGGATAACTGAGGCAAGTAAAGAAAACAATGGCGAGGGAGTGAAAGTAGTTCAAGAGGAAGATAAGCACATCGTGAATGATTATAATTTATTGAAGAAGAAGAAGAACGAGTTAGAGAACATGAAAAATATCATTCGTAATGATATATCTACATTAATAAAAAACACAGTAAATAACCATTTGTCAAAAAATGTAGACAATAAAGTTCAAGAAGCAATTGAAAAGAATATTAGAAATTTTGTTGAAAATAATTTACTCCATGTTGTGGAAAAAAATGCAGAGAATGTTAATAAGAAATATGTGTATGAAAAAATAAATGAAAAAATCAGCAAAGAACTGAAAAAAAATGTAGACCTAATATACTCAAGTGTAAGAAAAAATATTGACGAAAATATTAACGAAAAAATGGAGAAAAATACAGAGGCAGTAAATGCCCAATTAGAGCAAAGTGTGAATAACAAAATTGAAAATAATTTTGAAAAAATATACAATAAAATAAGTAAAAATGTGGGTAAACAGATGGAAAAGCAAGTGGAAAATCAGGTGGAAAAGCATGTGGAAAAAGTGGTAGAAGAAGCGGTAGAAGAAGCGGTAGCTAATCAAATAAACAAAAACATGAGCGATGTTCAAAATAGTCTGCTTCAAAATGTTAATAATGAATTGTGCAGAAAAATGAAGATCGTGGGAACCAACTTAAATGGCAAAGTTAGAGAATATATTTCAAACGAATTGATAAAAAATGTAAACTTGTTACACACACGAATTAATGAAAATATGAATAAGGAATTAAAAAAATGCATAAGCATACTTAACAGAAATGTGGACGAAAATCTCAATGATCAAATGGATAAAAATGCACAAATTTTTCTCAAAAATGTTTGTGAATGTTTAACTGAAGAAATTAAAAATAATATGAACGAGATGGAGAAAAATATCAGCTTTAATTGGAATGACCAGGTTATAGAGAAAATTGTAAACAAGTGCTTGCAACTTTCGAATTCGAGTGAACATGTTCATACATTTAATACACTGGCGATGGATCACACCAAGGAAGTTGTGGATATGGTCGAAGGCATGACAGGTCGAGTCAAGGAGGCAATAAACAAAGCGGATGTGGTGATGAACCTAACCAAAGACATGGTGGAACGTTCTAATGAGATAATGGAACGTTCTAATGGCATAGTGGAACGCTCTAATGGCATAGTGGAACGTTCTAATGGCATAGTGGAACGTTCTAATGGCATAGCGGAACGTTCTAATGGCATAGTGGAACGTTCTAATGGCATAGTGGAACGTTCTAATGAGATAATGGAACGTTCTAAAGTCATGGCTGATCTTGCAAGTGATACCCTTAAGGAGAGTGTATCCATCGAAATCAGAAGCTGCTTCGACATGCTAGGGAAAGCCATTCAAGAAAACATAAGAGAAGATTTGACAATTCACCTGAACGGTGTGGAAAATAGCGAAGAGTGCACTAAGAGGTTAGAAACAGCGTCTATACAAATGGTACAAGTGATGCACACCGAATTGACACGTCATATGGGAACACTGCGAGAAAATTTGGATGGCATTCAGGGGAATGTTCAGATGTCCTTGAAAGAGATTATCCAAACTGCAATGAAGGAGAGTGTGGAAGCAACAATGAAGGAGAGTGTCGAAGCAACAATGAGGAAGAGTGTCGAAGCAGCAGTGAAAGATGGTATAGAGACCATTCTATGGGACGAAATACAGAAAAATTTACAAATATCCCACAGCATATCGTATGAACAAGTGAGAAACGACATAACAAGAAGGAACGAGGAAAATTTTGAAACTGTTTTAAAAAATTCAAAGCAAAATTTGGATGCCATCATAAGAGGGCAAACATCGCTGTCAACACATATAAGCAAAGAAATGAAATTTATGAAGAAAATAAAAAGTAACATTAATGACGTGAAAACATTTCTTAAAACTTCCATAAACACATTTCAAAGGAAAGTTCACGATATAATGGAAAAAAACACCTCTACTGTGATAAATATGAATGAATCTCTGATGAATAAGATTAATGATTATTCTCCAAACATGGATAAAGCCATGAACTCGATGCATGAACAACAGATAGTCAAACTTGTTAGCATAGAAAGAGAAGATAACACTCTTCACATTGTGCAAGATGTTACAAAAATTGTACACAACCATCTGAATCTTCTAGATGAACGTGTTGAAAAATTAGTTAACGATATTATTATCAATGGGAAGATTAATGAGGAAAAGACTAACGAATTGATAAGTAGAAGTAGAGAAAATATTTCAAAAGATATTCTTGAAAACATACTGAAGAAGGAATTACATCTCCTACTTACACATGTAGAAGAACTATTTTCAAATTCTAATAAGAGTATAGCAGAACACTCAAATATGTTAAATGATTTCAAGGGAGTAATTAATCAGAACAATCAAAATGTAATGATGGAACGATTAAAAGTGATGAATGATGCATTGGATTTTCAGTTCCAAGAAAAATCGAAGCAATTCTTAAGTTTCATTGAAGAGAAATTAAATCAACTTTTTGAGAAAAAAATACAGTGCATTAGAAGAAAGGATGATACCCATGGGGCGAAGCATCAACTGAATGCTCAGAAATTAAGTCAAAGGCGTTTGAAGTTTAATTGTGTTAACACAAAGTGGGGTAGCAAAAAAAGGTACTTAATTTGTAAAGATGTGATGATGGCGAGGAAGGAGAGGAACAACGCTATGAATGTTCGGACAGATGGAAAGATTGGAAGTGTTTGGAATGTTAGGACGGTTTGGAACGAGACGAGGGGTAAGAGGGCGACCACGACAATGACGACAACTCCATTTGTTGACACGAACACAAATAAGGAAGCTCATTCGAAATTGATAAAAGATTCTAATCTGCAGCACGACATGAACTTACAAAAACAATGCGCTAGTGGAAACATCAAGGAACAGAACAAAACACAGGAAATGAATAGGAAAAGACCAATTTACATTGTCAATTATTTAAGGAATCAAAACAATGATCTTATTGAAGTTTCTCAATATCTGCATAAAAAAAAATATGCAAGAAAACACACGTTTCAGGACAATAGACACGAATGTATATCCGACTAAACATGTATTTCCAAATCATATTCACACGGGCTTTCTATAACAATTTTTTCACACATCCCTCCATCATCTACTCTCCATTTGAAGTAATTGGAAATATGTCATCGCGGAAGGATGATAAATTCTGCAACCAAATGGGGGAACCCATAGCAATTCAAATTGCACAATCGTAACATATGTATATATATACATATATATATATATATATACACATCTATATACATATCTATATACATATATATATATATATATATACACATCTATATACACATCTATATACATATATATATATATACATATAGATGTGTATATACTTCCCTCGTATTCTAACACTTCGACACCAACGTTGCACACACACATGCCTTTGTGTATGTGCAGGCATAGCACATCACGACTCCGTCCCTTGCGTAGATTTTGGGTCATGTAATTATTTTCCCGCTTGTATCGCAATTTTTTTTTCATTACACATGCGTGTTTTTTTTTGTGTGTACATGTGTATGTGTGTATGTGTATGTGCGTATGTGTATATGTGTGCATGCATGCATGCTCTGTCGCGTAGAAAAACATGGCGAAAAGAAAGTAACAAATCAAAAAAAGACAAACATCTCAGGAAGGGAGAAATGTAAAGAAAGGAAGAGCTTCTAATCACTACACGCCAACTACATATTTAACACAAAAAAAAAAAAAAAAAAAAAAACATATTAACTATTTCTCTTCGATCTTGCAATTACTATTTTAAACATGCCAGTTAGAGCATTTTTTTTTTTTTTTTTTTTTTTTTTTTTTATGCAGCATTGATGTCTTTTGGCATATGTTTGCGATGTATGGAACAATTAAGTGCTTTTTTTTTTTTTTCTCTTGGGGGAAAGAAGGAGAAGGGGGGGAACTTTTCAATTATGTATAACTTATTTTGAGACATATGAGAGGAGAGTCTCATAATATTTCAAGGAAAGAAAAAATTGAAAGAATCTTATACTCATTTTAGATGAGAAAATTGTTTGTAAGAATAAAGGTGTTGGACCGCTTGAAATATTTTAATTTGTTAAAAATATCCATTTAGTGCATAAAAAATTTTAATTTTAGTTGTGTCTTTTTTTTTTTTTTTTTTTTTTTTTTTTTTGGATGATGATTCTGCCTAAGGTAACAGACTCAGGGATTCTTCTTCTGCACTCAGTTGAGTGTTTCTATTTTGCGTAGAAGCATAAAACCCTTGGTGTTGATAGTCACCATTTGCTTTTGTGAATTCATAAATTTTGCTCACGTGTTCAAAAAGGTCAAATGTGTATCCTATATTGTGCTGTTCATCCTCTATGGGTATTCATTTAATCGTGTAGAAGGATAGCGTGAAGTCTCGTCCTCTCCACGCCTTCAACTGCTGCAACCGCTTCTGTTGCTTCTACCCATTTTACCCATTTTACCCATCTGCGAATGAAGAAAATGCACAAATTCTGGAGATTCCTTAAAAGGATGATTTCTCTGCATTCGACCACATCTGTTACAATTATAAATGTGTTTTTATTTGTCCTATTTTCTACATACACCATTTGGTAACTTTAGCTAAACATCAAACATATATGAACTCTACCTAAATGTGCCATTTCATATTGTAACTCATCCAAGAACAGGAGAGAGAATGACTTACGTGTACTATTATCTCTGCATCTATAATTGGATAATTTCTTAATATGAATCTCATTTTCTTCATTTGTCTATCTTTTTAATCCTGTTTGCATCATAGGAAGGTTAAGCGAAGTGCAAAATGGATTAAGCGAGTTAAAGTGCCAAAGGAGAGACGACCCCAAAAGAGGAGTTCGAAGAAGCATCGAAAAAATGTGCATGGAAGTGGAAACTGTCAAAGCGTAGAAAAGGATGAAACGTCAGAAGGAGAGGCGGAAGAGGTGGAAGAAGCAGGAAAAGAAGAAGGAGATAGAGAAGACCGAGATGGAGAAGACAATTGCGAATTGCATGCTGAATGGCAAGATGGCGATTTTCCTGGAGATGTTTACGCACGAAGTAATGATAGAAAAACATCAAAAGTGGAAAAAAAAAAAATAATGATTTACCTAAAATTAAACCAAGCCTTGGACGGTATTAGAGATGAGTTGTGTTTAATCGATGAAGAATTGAAAAAAATTTTACACAAAGAAAATAATAATCTCGATTATCTCAGCCAAGTTATGATATCTGACAACTGTGCATCTAAAAAGGTGCACACAATAAACAAATACTTACAGAACACATCAAATAATTTTGCTATAACATATTCTTTACAAAATAGTACAGAAACTTTCGACCTTGTCTGTGACCAAAAAGGAGATTCAGATGTATATAATTCTGCGAATCTCACTAGTGAAGGAAGGGAGTTCACCCCTGAGAAGATGAATCAGAAGGAGAACCGCAAAAGGGAAGATTCTACTACTTTGGTTCGCATGAAGAATTCTGAACACGTTGTCGATTCAACACAAATGGCTAGTTCGATTCACTTGAACAGCCATTTCAATTTAAATGAAACATTTCAAACGAAGAGTCAGAAAAAAAACTCAACAAGAAGTGACACACTGTTCATGAACGAAGGTATAAAGAAAAATTCAATCGATCATACGGGTCACAAGTGTATCCAGAAAGTTGATAATCTGAAATGTCTTTCTATGGACAGTCATTCAAAAAATGAGAAGACGCTTGACGAGGCTGTTTCCATTCAGAAAATGGAAAATTCGAATAATGACACTGACGTGGTAGATGCATCTCTGGAAACGAGGGAAGTTGGAGAAGTGGAAATATTTAACAAAGTCAAAAAAGCGAGTGTTTCTAACGAAGTCAAAGAAGCAGATGCATCTAATGAAGTCAGAAAAGAGAGTGCATCTAATGAGGTCAAAAAAGCGAGTGCATCTAATGAAGTCAGAAAAGAGAGTGATTCTAGCGAAGTCAAAGAAACGGAAACATCTAACGAACTCAAAGACATGGATGAATCTAACGAAGTCAGGAAAATGAGTGATCCTAATGTGGTCAAAAAAGCGAATGCTTCTAATGAGGTGAAAAAAGCGAATGCTTCTAATGAAGTCAGAAAAGTGAGTGCTTCTAACGAAGTCAAAGAAACGGAAACATCTAAAGAAGTCAAAGACATGGATGAATCTAACGAAGTCAGGAAAATGAGTGATTCTAATGAAGTCAGGAAAATGAGTGCATCTAATGAGGTCAAAGAAGCGGATGTATGTAATAATGTCAGAAAAGGGAGTGCATCTAATGAGGTCAAAAAAGAGAGTGTTTCTAATGAGGTCAAAAAAGCGAGTGTTTCTAACGAAGTCAAAGAAACGGATGTGTCTAATAAAGTCAGGAAAATGAGTGCATCTAATGAAGTAAGAAAAGAGAGTGCTTCCAATGAGGTCAAAAAAGGGAGTGCATCTAATGAGGTCAAAAAAGCAAATGCTTCTAATGAAGTCAGAAAAGTGAGCGCTTCTAACGAAGTCAAAGAAACGGAAACATCTAACGAACTCAAAGACATGGATGAATCTAACGAAGTCAGGAAAATGAGTGATTCTAATGAGGTCAGAAAAGAGATTGCATCTAACGAAGTCAAAGAAACGGATGCATATAATAATGTCAGAAAAGGGAGTGCATCTAATGAGGTCAAAGAAGCGGATGTGTCTAATAAAGTCAGGAAAATGAGTGCATCTAATGAGGTCAAAGAAGCGGATGCATATAATAATGTCAGAAAAGAGATTGCATCTAATGAGGTCAAAAAAGATAGTGCTTCCAATGAAGTCAGAAAAGGGAGTGCATCTAATGAGGTCAAAGAAGCGGATATGTCTAATAAAGCCAGAAAAATGAGTGCTTCTAACAATGCCATAGAAATGAGGGTGTCCATAAAAAACTCAGATCACGCCCCTGAGGGACAGCAAAAACTTCAAAAGTGTACAATGTATGGAAAAGAAAATAGTCAACAGAAAATCGAAAAGTGTGATATCGGTTCGTCTGAGAATGATGTAGATCAATGGGAAAAGGATGGGGAGTATGTGAGAAATGGTGAAAAGGAAGAAAGGTGCGATGACGAAAGGAAGGAGTCACCCGATGACAGATGCAGAGAGAATTCATTCCTGAATGCAATACAGAACCTTTTTCTTAGAAACAAAAAAAGTGTTCAGAAGGAGTCAGAAGAAAAACAAGAAAAAGAGAAAGAAGTAGAGATTTATAATTTAAAAAGTGAAAGTGAAAAATCCCAAAGTAAAGAATTTAATAAAACGAAAGAACATGCTCAAAATGATAATGAAAATATACATGAAATTAAAAGTTTAAATAATCAGAAAGATGTAGATTCAGAGAAAAAATATTTTGATATGGAAATGCAAAATGGAATTTCTGTTTGCACATGTGTGAAGTCAGAAGGTGAAGATATTCATATGAACAATCAGGAGAATAATTATTTAGATGAATCTCTAAGTATGATTAAAACTAAACTTAGTGTAGATTGTGTAATAAATAAAAGAAACATGACTAAATATGAACAAAAGTCACATAATAACGGAGGTGAAACATACGATTGCGTAAGCAGAATACCCAATCTCGATAAGGAAAAATATACCAATGCAACTATCTCCAAATGTGTAGACTCTACTAATACAATAAATAAATATAAAAGTGAATGTAACACTTGGGGTGATATTAATAAGAGCGAAGAAGATGGAAAAGTCAACAGAAAAAAAAGTGAAAGATTTAGTAGTTGTGATTACATGGATGAGGGGCATATAATGAACAAAGTAAACTCAAAATCATTTGCAAAGGATTATAGAAATGAAATGGACAGGAAAGTAACATGCCAAGATAAACTGGATCAAATGGAAAGAAGCAGAAGTAGAAATGAAGTTACATCTAATGCACAGAACGGAACAGCCAAATCTGAACCCATTTATATCTCTAGCAAAACTAGCGAAATGGGAAAAGACATGGAAATGCACAACGAGGGAGAGAGTAAACATTATCAACATGCTTCAAATGATATTGACAGTAATTACATAAATAAAAAAAAAAGCGAAAGATTTAATACTATTGTAACGGATGAAGCAAATGAATTGGAAAAGGGTAAAATAAAAATGAACGAAGAAATTTTGAGAAAGCGTAATTTCACAGGAGCTACAGATATGACTAATGTACCAAGTTCAGGACGATTCTGTATGAACGAATCAGGCGATTTGAATGAATATAATGAAAATAAATCGTACATTAACAGTTCAGAAAATTTGTTGCAAAAAAGTGCCAATTATATACCACATGCTAACATATCACTGTATTCAACTGAAAATATGGAAAGGCCTTCTCGGATTGGCAGTAAAAAAGAAATAAGTGTAGAAAATGAAAATGAGTTACATATAGACAGTGCGAAAATATTAAGAACTAACAATTCAGGAAATTTAGTCGAATATAACACAAGGAAGACCTCATATATAAACAAATCACACGATTTGAATGAAAGAAATTTAAAAAAAAACTCGAATATTAACAATGTGGAAATTTTCAATGAAAAACATACAAGAGAAGATTCCTACATGAACAAGTCATTCGATTCGAATAAAAGCAGTTCAAAGAAGACTTCATATATCAAAAAATCACGCTATTTGAATGAAAAAAATTCAGAATTAAATGTAGACAATGAGAAAAACATGGGTATCAGCAGGTCAAACGGTTTGAAAGAATCAAGTGCAAAGAAAGATTCATGTGTTAACATTTCAGACAATTTAAATGGATCTCATTCGAAGGATGAATCTTTTTTGACACATCGAAACAATTCAAATATAAAAAAATTAAAAAAATCAAGTGCTATAAAGTCAGACATTCCTAACGACCCTACTAAAAACGCCACATGCATTAGCGTGTCAGCATATTTTAATGAAAGTAATACAGAAAATGGATCGTGCATGAATGGTTTATCCAATTCAAATGAAAATGAAGCAAAGAGAAACTCACATAAAAGTAATTCAGAAGGAATCGAAGAAAAAGGAGGGAAGAAAATTTCACTCATAAACATAGCAAGCGATAATACTGAAAACAAAACAATGAAGATTAGCAATACAGGGAGTTTAATGGAATCAAGAGAAGATCCTCCACATATTATAAATTCAGAAAAATTAAGTTACTCAATTCTGAACACGGGATCACACGTGAACACTTCAGATGACGTTCGCAAAGTTATGGGGAAGAATTCCAAGATTAACAGTTCAAGTGATTTATCTGAAAACGAGCCAGAGAAGACTACATATATGAACAGGATAGACGATCCGAATGAAAGCACAGAACCCATCTCACATATTAACAGTTCACGTTATATAACTGAAAACAACACAGAGACTGAGAAGATCTTACATATAAAGAGAGAAAAAAATTCTGAGAAAAATGGTTCAAAGAAAACCTCGTACATAAAGATGTCGCATGATATGGGTGGAAAAAAACATTCAGAAGAATCAGACATAGACAATACGACAAAATTAAGTATTAACGGTTCAGATTATTTGAATGATAGTAATTCAAGGAACTCTCAGCTCGAAAGGAATCAACATTTGAATGAATATGATAATACAAAAAAGGGTTCCTATATGAAAAGGACAGATGATTTGATCGAGAATAACGGAAAGGTTTCATGTTTTAAAAAATCAGACTATGCAAATGAAAGTAACCCGAAGAAGATTTCACACATGAACAGTGCAATCAGTCTCTGTGAGAGAAATGCAGATGGATTCAGTATTACCACGTCAGACTGTTCGAATGAAAAAAACGGAGAGAAACCTTCGTATACTGACAGGTCAGATGGTTTACAAAAAAACTTCTCCAAGAAGGGTTCTTATATTAACAGTGCTGATGATGTGAATGAAGAAGAAGACAGAAAGATTTTTTCATGTATTAATGGTGAACTCGATTTCAATGAAAACAATTCAAATGTATTAACAGGTATAGGTAACATGATGCAACTCAGTAGCAACATTTCTGTTCATTCGTTTGAAAATAGCCCAAAGGAGGAATCGTATATAAGCAATTCCTGTGATATATTTAAAAACAACCCAAGGACGACCTTAAATGTGAAAAGGTCAAAAGATTTATCTGAAAACAATGCAGAGAAAATTAAATGTAACAACGGATCAGGTGATATGAGTGAAAATACTTCAAAGAAATTAAGCGTAGACAAATTGTCCAACTTTAGTGTTCACAAATCAGGAGATGTGAATGAAAAGGATTCAAAGGGAGGGTCATATATGAACAGATCAGGTGGTGTATCTGAAAACAAAACAGAACAGATTCCATATATGGACAGGTCAGGTGGTGTATCAGAAAACAACACAGAGCAGATTCCATATATGGACAGGTCAAGTGGTGCACTTGAAAAGAATAGAGAGAATATCTCCTATATTAACAGATCAAGCAATGAGAACGCAAAGCGGTCAAAGATGGCTTCGATTAACACCAGATCAGGAGTACTTAAAGAAAACAAGTCCCACGAAATTTCTTACAAGATTCGGTCAGAATACTCGAAAGAAAACGGCTCAAAGAAAAATTCCTATACTAGCAGTGTAGTCGATGCGAATGAACACAACAAAAATAATTTATGCATACAGAGGTCAGGTGGATTAATCGAAGGCAGAGAAAACGACACTTGCAGGAATAGGACAGACGGATTAATCGAAGGCAGAGAAAACGACACTTGCAGGAATAGGACAGACGGATTAATCGAAGGCAGAGAAAACGACACTTGCAGGAATAGGACAGACGGATTAATCGAAGGCAGAGAAAACGACACTTGCAGGAATGGGTCAGGTGGATTAATCGAAGGCAGAGAAAACGACACTTGCAGGAATAGGACAGACGGATTAATCGAAGGAAGAGAAAACGGCACGTGTACGAATAGGTCAGACGGATTGATCGAAAATAAAAACAAGGCTTCGCACACGCACATGAATAACGAACTGGGCGATATTCAGCCGAAGGATGGATCCAGGAAAAATAGGCTAATTAGTGAAAATTTAAAACCGATTAAAAAATTGAGAGAATATTTTGTTCATGGGGAAAATGACTCAGATTTGTTAACAGACAGGATGAGTAACACAAGTGGAGAACCACAAAAAGGGAATTTAAAAGAAAAAAACAATGAAAAATACGACTCTTATGATTTTAAGAATATCACGGGAAAATATAAATTTCAAATGAACATGGAAGAGGATGAAATAAATGAATTACAAAAAAAATTAAAAGATGAATTTCAAATGCTACATGCAATGAGTAAAAAGAAAAATAGTCTTAAAAACATATTCGAAAATAATGCACATGTAAAATGTATGACATCACAAGAATACATGAATAACGAAGACCAGTATGATCGGGTTGATTTAAAACATTCGACAAGCGTAAATCCAGAAAATAATTTTGACGAAATGAGTGAAATGAATTCGAAGGGAGATTTACCTGACCTTAAAAATGAAAGTGTATTTAAAGACACACAGCCAGAGGAAAATTGGAGCATGCTCAATGTAATACTAGCAGAGGACGTGAATATGCATCTCGCAGCACGTGAATATGTGCATGTGCTTATTTGCATAAGTATGCATGTATATGTACTTTTATCACACACACACACTACCATTTCCTCTTTTCTCTTTCAGTTTTCCACGGAAATGAGTAATCGCGAAAAGAAGAAGATTAAAAAGTGGAAGGTCAGTTGCAAATATTCTCATCCATGATCTTCCCTACTTGCCTGTCATACGTGTGCAAATCAGTACACTCCAAAACTGTACACATTTCAACCCTCCTTGGTGGTGTCTCTCTTTTTGTAGTCACTCAGGATGTCGAAGGGGTACAAAGACGATTGGCTTTCTTCTGATGCCCTTTTATGGTGTTTTTTGAATTACATAGAATTGAAAAAAATTGTAAATATAACTGAGTTATCGGTTAAATTTCAAACAAAACGGGAGGTATGAAAAGAGCAAAATGAAGAAAAAAAGTAAAAAGTATTGAAACAGTGGAATTATCATAAGAATGCTCTCGTTCATTAGGTCAATGTCACCACGAATGTAACTCCTGCTTCATGCATGTAACTACTGCTTCATGCATGTAACTACTGCTTCATGCATGTAACTACTACTGCGCGCATGTAACTCCTGCTGCACACATGGGCACAATCCCCTTTGCATATGCACCAAAAACACCTGCACTCAGAACATAAGAAAAAAACTTAAAGAACTGGAAGAACTGGACATGATCCAAGGAGTCATGGACAAAGAAGAGAACTATATCTACTTGTCACAAGAAGAGGTTACTAAATTGTGCATGGAAATATTGTCTATTGAGGAAATAAAAACTCAAGAAGATTTTGTAGAAATATGTAATAAGGTCATATCTCTAAGGATTAATGATCAGGTACGTACCATATGTCCTGTCCCATGCTTCAAGCAGAATTTCCAAAAAATTCAATGCGCATACGTGTGGATAAAAAGAAAAAAGAGGATTAGGTTCCTCACAAATATATACATATTTTACGTCTATTCACAGGATATCCAAAAATTAAAAGAAGTGGAGGAAAAAATTGTAGAGGCCAATAAAAAAAGATATTCTGATTTTACCTGAACAACGTGATCTTCATGGTCAGAAAAAAAAAAAGAAAAAAAAAAAAAAAAAACTATGTATGCACACAAAATAGCTAGCTATATACATTCATTCCCTTTTCTTCATCTTCATCCTCCTTTTTTTTTTTTTTTTTTTTTTTTTTTTTTGTGCGTTACTTCTTATTCATTTAGGTTGATTTTTTAAAATGGTCTTTTAAAAATTCTATACATTCAGCTTCATTCTCTCCATGGACACAGGAAAATCGAATCTGAGAAGATTGAAAGAAGAAAAAAGGGGAAATGATAAGCAAAAAATAAAGCAAAATAAAGCAAAATAAAGCAAAATAAAGTAAAATAAAGTAAAATAAAAGGGGGGAGGGAGGCTTGCCCTCCTCCAAATGTGGTTATATGTGGACATACAAATTAAGCATGACTACTGTACAGAAATATCGTGCAGGAATATGGTGATTCTTTTTCTCTCTTAATCTCTTTCTTTTTCGCTCTTTCCTTTTCTCTCTTTATCTCTTCCTTTTTCCCTATTTCTTTTTTGCGCCTCTCTTACAATTTGCTCGTAGACTTCTGCAATTCTACTTTGAGAAAGCTGAGGAAAGTTGTGCTTAATGTCTGGCCATTTCAAAAAGGGCTTAATGCTATACGCATTTTGTAAATTATTTTTTAAAATAAATTCATATAATTTTTTGGAAAAGTTGGAAAGGTAAAAGTCAATGGTGTTGGAAGTAATACGCGTGTTGTTAACTTCCTTATGTTTGTGAAAAATAAAAAAAATTAAAAGTAAGAAATCCCATTTTTCTCCTACATTTTTTAAAAACAAAACGATTTCTCCTATGATGTGTGTATTTTTTTTATCATTGCAATTGAGATTGCTATTGTGATTGCTATTGTGATTGCTATTGTGATTGCTATTGAGATTGCTATTGTGATTGCTATTGAGATTGCTATTGTGATTGCTATTGTGATTGCAATTGTAACTGTTTTTTAAAAAATTCAAAACTTCCATATTTTTGTACAGGTTGTATAAACTTGTAAATTTTTCAAATATATTTACACAAAATTTTGCATATTTTAAAGGAAATTTTAAAGATTCACGAACAATGTATTCTATAACATATTCCGTTTTCGTGCTTTTTTTTATGTACACAAAATGATTTTTTAGTGGCATTAGAAACAGACACAATAGTACATAACTTATGTTTTCTTGATAGTTCAATTGGGGAAACGTTTCCTTCAGCAGATTCGTCTTTTCTAGATCTTTGAAAAATTTTACATAATCTAGTCCTTGCAAGGTCCAATTCGAGTCATCATCAGAGTATACATGTAGAGCTTTCTCCATTTCAAAGTCATTATCTTTACCAAGATTGTTCGTCACATTTGTTTTGCTTGCCCTGTTGCACATTTCCCCATTATAAGTGGGTTCTTCTGGATTCACTTGTCCCTGCACATCTCCATCTTCCCTGTGGTTGTTTTTTTTGGTGTTCGTTACATTTCCGTTTGGGATATCCATTTTGAGAGGTTTACCACTTTGATCTACATTGTTATGATTGTCATGATTGTCAATGTCAACACAGTCAACATTGTCAGGATTAATTTTTTTTTTTTTGGTAAGAGGTGCTGAAACATCCGCATTGAATTCGTGCCCGGATGATGTATTACACTGCACCGTTTCATCCTTTTTCTTGTTAATTTTGTCGGATTTTCTTTTTATTTCTTCAAAAATTTCTTCATTTTTTATAAAATAATCAGGAGGTAAGGTAAAAATTTCATTCGAATAGGAGCTGTAATTTAACAAGGTCAAAGATAAAACAACATTTTGACATTTTTTGGAAAAAATTTTTACAATTTCGGAGGCAAGTCTACTTCTGGAAATTTTTTTGTTAAATGATTTTATAATGTCTTTATTTTTTAAAACATCAAAAATAGATTTTTCAATATAGAAATTAAAATAACCACAAAATCTTATGCACCTAATAATTCGTAAAGGATCATCAAGAAAAGTGGACAAAGGATTCATAGGGGTGCAAATAATTTTATTTTTCAAATGAAATATACCTCTTCTCGTGTAGTCTTCTACTTGTTTATTATTTAAATTGTAAAAGAGAGCATTAATGGTGAAATCTCTTCTCAATGCATCTTCTTCCGGTGTTCCAATAACAATTTCAGGGATTCTGCTATTTTCTGTGTACTTTTCATTTCTTAAATTCACAATATCCACTTGAAAATTAAACAAATGAAAACTTGACGTTTCTAAATGTTTCGATTGATCAGAATTAATTTTTATTATCCCAAAATTGAAATCTCTTTTTTCTTTTTCTTTTATGTATTCTTTTATATAATTACAAAAATCAGACCCTTTCATATTATCAACGGTAAGGTCAATATCATCGTTTGAAATTCCTAAAAATTTATCTCTTACCCATCCTCCCACGACCCTCAGTGTGCATTTTAAGTTATACCTTTCGTTCACATTTTGGAGAAATTCAAACAGTTCTTCTTCTTCTTTCCTCATATTTTTATTAATGAATTTTTCGATTTCCATAACTTCATCTGTGCGATGATTAGAACTTCCTACACTTTCACGTTCTGAAACATATTGAGATTCTACACAATGTTCAATTTTGTCTTCAACCTTTGAAGATTTCAAAAGTTTCTCATCAAAGATATAATTTTTTAAATAACTGACATATCCGTTTTCTTGCATTTTGTTTTTGGTGTCCTTGGGATTGAGAAGATTAAAATTTTTATTCATATATCCTTTAATTCTGTAGTTACTTTTATTCTTTGCATATATATAGAATAATCTTTTTGTGCAATGAACAATTTTTTTTTTTATGAACATGCTTTTGTTCATGTAATTCTTTTTCAAATTGAAAAATAATTTCCCATTCTCGTTTTTTTTCTTCTTAAAAGGGGATGACAAGGTACTTTTTCTCGTTCCACTAATTAAGCTTGTTATTACAAGTACCAGAGGTAGTAGTAAATAAGTAAATGTATCACGGGAGTTCATTCATATTGAAAATGTGGGTGAACAAGTGCAGCATTCCTTAATCGATCAAAAACCAGTGTACGTTCAACTGCAAAGCTCTCAGATTTTACAGGTACGCTCCGCTAGTTGGATGTTTCCAGTACTTGGTATGCATGTATTTAATTATATGGAGGGTAGCGTGTGGTTATAGCATCACTTTTATGCAAACACTAGTATACTGTTTATAACAGCAGCGCGGAAAAATATACAATACCGTTCTTCAGTGAGGTTTTTTAATGGAAGAAGTAGTTGCTACTTTATCTGTTATGTTTACGTAAGTACTCAGCCAGTAGTGTTTTAAAAAAAAAAAAAAAGAAGGTTTGATCCTTTCTCACCAAATGTATATATATATATATATGTATACATGGTATGTGTGAATGTCTCCCCCATAAGGAAAAGCACATGTAAAAAATAGATGCACCAAGATCAAACGGATGATGCCCATTATAGGATTTTCCTCTTTTTCTTTGAAAACAAAAAAAATAAACCCGATTAAAAAAAAAAAAAATGAGCTTGCAGCAGGCTGTAATGAACTTTTATCTCTTAACCAATATGCACAATCAATAACACGCACAATGTTGCATATTAAAAATATGAATACATGGTAATGTATATGGGTGAACGGGAAAAGGGCTTGTTTTTAGCGCAGTAAAGAAGCTGGAAAAATGAGAAAAAAATGAGAAAAAAAATTAGGCAATAAATGAGGGAAAGAAGAAAGGGGTACAACCAAAATTAACATATTTATTTTTTTCTTTTTTTTTTTTTTTTGTGCTTAAATTTGTGCAATCCGATTGACCTAGTTTTATTTTATGAGGATATATATGAAAGGAACATTTTCTCGCTATGTCCAATTCATTTGTGTTTATGTTTTGTAATGCTAGTTCTTGTTTGGGTGATTTTTCCATTCATCCCCATCAGGTCTTTTCTCATTCTGTGCGACAGATACTTCATTTTATATGTCAAACTTTTTTTGTTCAAATATTCAACTCATAATCACATGAAAAGAATAAACAAAACTTTTTAGCCATTTTTTTGAGGCACAAATGGACATAGGGAAAATATGCACATTGTGAGAAAAGACCCCAGTTTGTTCCGCCTTGAAATTAAACATATCAGCATGTACAACCAGATCATAAAAAAAAAAAAAGAAAAAAAAGGATATACAAAAATGTACAGGAATATGCACAGGAATACAGAGGAGGAATATACATAAACATTCATATCTGTTAAAACGAACACAACTTCAATTTAATTAACGAAGAAAAATGTGGAAAACATTTTTTTTTTTTTTTTCAAAACTATCCTTTTAAGTATATGCAAAAAGATATGCACATGAGATATACATGCATGTAAGGTATGTTACATGCACATAAATGAATTTGGAACCTAATACAGATCTTATCTTGTAGATACTTATTTAACCATTTTATATAGATGGTATTTTTATCAATCACACATGATATAAACAATCCATAATAAAATAAATGAATAAATAAATATATATATATAACCGTTCTTTTTTTCAAGTTATATATATGTATATATATATAAAAGGTTAAGATCAAATGAGAAAAGATGAATATTTTACATTTCATTTGGATTTAACTTTTTTTTTTTTTTTTTTTCACCTTTCTCTATATATTATATATATCTACATATATTTCTACATTTATACCTATACTTACATCTAGATTTATATCTGCATTATACTATATTTATATCTACATTTGCGTCCAATTTGCATCTAATTTGCATCTAATTTGCATCTAATTTGCATCTAATTTGCATTTACATTTATGCATTAATCAAAACGCTCGAGTAAAAACTACGGGCATGGAGAACATATCTACACGAAAAAAAAAAAAAAAAAGGAAAAATAAAAAAACAAAAAAAACGAAGCGTAGGAAAAACATTGATTTTAATTTATTATTTAAGATCCAACATTTTTCTCTTCAAAATTCTCAACCTTTAATTTGTCGGATCACCAGGTGACTCGGTTCTCTTTTGTTTCCCCCGTTTTTCCCCACCCCACCAAAGGAAAAAAAAAAAAAAAAAAAAAAAATAATGAAAAATAAAAAAAGAACCGAAAGTAGGAAATAAAAAACAATGGGAAATGTAGAAAATGGGAAAGAAAAAATAGAAAATGAAAAATAATTTATAAAAAATAGTTCATAAAAAATAATTGATAAAAAATAGTTCATAAAAAATAGTTCATAAAAAATAATTGATAAAAAATAGTTCATAAAAAATAGTTCATAAAAAATAATTGATAAAAAATAGTTCATAAAAAATCGAAAATAAAAGAGTAAAATAATAAAGAGTAGATAATGCAAAGCAATAAAAAGTAGCAAAGAATAAATAAAAAAAAAAAAAAAATAATAATAATAAAAAATAAATAATAATAAATAATAAAAAATAAATAATAAAAAATAGGAAGTATAAGAAATAAAGAATATAGAATAAAAAATAAACGACAGAGGTTAAAATAAGGAGAAACAAAAAAATAGTAAATATTAAAACGCAAAGAATAAGCGGTAAAAAAAAAAAAACAACACAGAAAAAACAATGAACCTAAGCAAACATTTGAAACCCAATGAAGAAAGCAGAGGACACGTGTTATTATCATACAAGTAATTTATAAAAATTATCAAACGGATTTTTTAAAATAATAACGAGGGGGGAAAAAATAAAAAAATAGATAATGCATAAATGAATGGACGAATGGACGAATGGACGAATGAACGATTGAATGAATGAACGAATGAGCAAATGAACGAATGAACGAATGAACGAATGGACAAATGAACAAATGAACGAATGGACAAATGAACAGAGAAAACATCACAATGGTCATACTCGAAACCACGCTTTTTTTTTTTTTTCTTTTTTCACTTATGATTAAAACGTTCTTCACGGGAGCCTAGACCCCCTCGGGATACGGGCCTTTAGAAGATCGAAAAAAAAAAGAAGCGAATATGGATAGACGAGGCAACTAAAATCTGTAATATGTTAATTACAAGGTTAACTGTGAAGACATCGTGTATGTATGTATATCTATATATATATATATATATATCTATATATATGTATATATTTTTTTTTTATTTTTATTCTTTGTTTTTTATTTTTTTTTATTTTTTTGGGTTGGGTGGAGTAGATCCATTTTTCGAAAATTTTTGCCTCTCCTTGTCCCTTAAAATTTCCCCCATTTTGTTTAATTTTCCGTATAACAATCTCAAAATGAGCCTTGATATTAGCAAATCTGCTGTGCATATGAATAAAAACACAAGATTAAAAAAGGATAAGCATGATGATGAAAATTTAGATGATGTTGATTATGAACTGGTGGAGAAATTTAGCCAGAATTACGTACCAACAAAGGGAGAAAAAATTACCTTCCTAATTTTAGGTATCTTGGCCCTATGGTAAGTGTGTAAAAAAAAAAAAAAAAAAAAAAAAAAAAAGTGATACCGTTACTATATCAAAATGTAATCGCTTCTATCCATGCATGGAAGGGAGGGACTATTGTTTAGCCATTACAAATTTTTCTAATTTATATTTTTTTTCCAATTTTTTTTTCTCATATTTTTCGCCTTTTTTTCTCATTGTTTCCCCATTTTTTCCATATTTACCTGCCCCCTCTCCCCGAAAGCGGATTCAAGTCGATAATCGCCAGCGAATTTGCCTTTTATCCTCCCCACATAATTGGATACACAGTGGATGAAGATAAATTTATGTATGGGAGTAACCATTTCCTGCAAGGTAGCATGAACAAGATAATGGAAGATCATGGTTTTGGTATAAACTACAGTAAACTAACTAAGGGAAAAGATGAAATTGCAGCAATACTTCTTTACAAGAAACCTCTAGATTTAAATAAACAGTTGATTCTGTTTTCACATGGAAATGGTATAGATCTAGGATACTCCTTCCACACACATTTAAATTTGCTGACACAAACAGATGCAAATGTGATGGCATATGATTATAGTGGATATGGATATAGTAATAAAAAGCCAAGTGAAAAAAAAATTTATAAAAACATAAAGATGGTTTATGATTATTTAACGAATGAATTAGAGGTAAATCCAATGAACATTATACTGTATGGACATAGCATAGGATCATGTGCATGTAGTTACTTAATGACTTTGAAAAATGTCAAAGTTGGTGGTTGTATTTTACAATCTCCATTAGCAAGTGGAATTAAATTAATATTTCCTTTTCAAAAAAAATACATCCCATGGCTTGATGTATTTAAAAATTATGAAAAATTAAAAAAAGCTTCGGTTGCACCCTTCTACATTATGCATGGAAAAAAAGATGAAGATGTCCCTTATCACCACTCGATCATATTATTGAATAGTCTTAAAGAAAATTTTGAAAATAAGAGAAAAAACAAGAAAAATAAAGCCAATTCTTCGATTCAAAATATAGACAATACTTCCTTAATTAAATTCTGGGGGGTTGCCAACTCTGACCACAATAATATGGAGTTAATGAATTACGATTCTTTTTACAGACGATTCCGTGAATTCCTACTCCATTGTAGACATTACAACTCAGCATAGTGCAACCAAGAAAAACCCCTCATGGGATGCACAAGCGGAGGCATTATTTTTGCTATTTATCTGTATTAGCTACGTTTACTGTGCAAGTCTGACCTCGAGCAGACGATTTCTTTCTCTTTCGACATGCACCACACCGAGAAGGTTCACATATTTATATATATATATATATATATATCCATTGTTTGTTTCCAAGAAGGAAAAAAATGTTTATGGTGGTGGAAGATTTTTTTTTTTTTTTTTTTTTTTTTTTTTATTCATCCCTTTTCCCCCATCACATTGGACAGTAAATCTTTGCTAGTATGGCTTTTTTTTTTTTTTTTTTTTTTTTTTTTTTTTTTTTTTTTTTTTTTTTTTTTTTTTTTTTTTTTTTTTTTTTTTTTTTTTTTTTTTTTTTTTTTTTTTTTTTTTTTTTTGTGTTTTTTCTTTTTTCCTCATTTGGTTCACGATTCTCCTCATTTGTTCACGATTCTCCTCATTTGTTCACGCTTCTCCTCATTTGTTCACGCTTCTCTTCATTTGTTCACGCTTCTCTTCATTTGTTCACGATTCCCCTTATTTTTCCCCATTTTCCGCACTTTTCCTAACTTTTTTTTCTTTTTTTTGTTTTTGGTAGCATCATATTTGAAACTTTACCCGTTTTTGTGCCAAGAATGTATGAATGATTTTTTATTTTCTATTTGAATATAGAAAAAAAAAAAAAAGGGGGGGGGGGGGGGGGGTATTTTTTTTTTCACACAAATTTTTTCTTCACTTTTTTTTTTTTTTTTTACCCATTCCCCTTTTTCGGTACTCAAGAATTTGTTTATTTGAGTTAAAAAAAAAAAAAAAAAAAAAAGGACAATTCTTTAGAGGAAGAAAATAAATGATTTTGTTTTCTAAATAATGTTTTTGCCC